AAGTAAACTCGATCCGAGGTGTCTGACGCATATTATTTTTTCCAATCGACAAAAGTACAACGCTTGCAGCTTTATTCCGTGATACAGCGGCTGTTAAGTCAAATTAAGAACTGATTAATGCAACAATGGTCAAAAATATACAAAGTACGATAACGCGTCGTTCGTGCAAATGCATTTTGCATTTCGCCCAAATCTCGCAAAACGGGCGTGCATCGTTAATGTTAATAAACGATACATGTATTGATGTATATATTTTATGTACTATCAAATGGAACTGTCGCAACTGTCCGCTACTTTACTCGCGTATTACTTCGCACTTTCAACGCGAAAATAGCAGACGAGCAAATTCAAATCCGCGCCGAAACGTTCCAAGCGCGACGAAATATGTGTACAAAATTAGACCAAAGAAATAATTATCATCTGTAGACGAATAAATCGCGACGAGGCGATAAATTGCACCTCCCGTTTTCTTTTCCAGTTGCTTCGCTGCTTACTTTTGTAATGTAAACATTTGGTGCGTTACCAAGTTAACGTAGGCCGAACTTTCGCTTCAATCAAATTATCTTTGTTCGAAAATTTATTCAAATTAATTCGGACAAATAGACAAATGTCTACGGCTTCTTAATTATACAGATCTCTATTTTTATAAGATTTATTTTCAAAAATTAAAAATTAAATTTAAAATAAAATAAATAATTTTATAATTGTAACGGTTGCAATTATAACGAAAATCTGCCTAAATATCTCAAAATGTTAAAAGCTATTACTATTCGTAAATAATTTTAAATATTACCGTACACAGGCCGTATTTACTAAATAAATAAAAAAGTTTAAAGTTGCTATTTAAATTTTTAAATAGCAACTCCTACCTGATTTGATTTACTTTCAATTAATTTTATTGATTTACTTTTATAAATAAAATTGTTTGAAAATATTGCTTCTGCCGCTGTCTTTTTCGCGATGGACAGGTATTTTGAAACAACTTTATTGATCTATTCGCTAGTAATCTTTGGTAGCACTTACTCATTTTCTCGGAAAAAAGCAAATAAAGCGGGAGTTCTGCTTTACATTAAAATTTTTTACGCGCCTTTGTAAGTTGAAACAACTTTATTGGTACTATCTGGTAGAAATCTTTAGTGCCACTCTCTCATTTTCTCGAAGAAAAAGCAAATAGAGCTATGTTCTGCTTTACATTGGAATTTTTTATCTGCCTTCGTAAGTTTCGCGAATGCGAGTCGTTTACTTTGCCACGCAGACAAGAACCGCTAAGCTTGTTTTCGTTTCGCGTCATTCTGCCCGACGCGTGGGATTTAGACGTAGCGTTTGACGTAAGGAAGAAGAAACGCACGAAAAGCCGAAGCGCTCTCTGTGCTACATTTTGCACGTGCCGTAAAACACGCCGACCATCGATCGCACTGGAATTGTGTATCAAGAGTCGGGTTCCGTCCGAATTATCCAGCCGACTTCTTCAACAAGTGGCGATGCGCTTTGCAGAAGTAAGATAAAGCGGAACATTTATTTTCGGTTTGCGCTTCCATCGTGTATCAAGACTGTGGTAAAGGAGATGAATGAAATATAGAACGGAAAAGAAGAAAAATAATAATAAATAATATGATTATATATAAATCATGTCAGCATTTTTTCTATTTTTAAAGATAACTCTTCATTCATTTATTTATTTAATTCTTAAATCGTTTAATAAGCGATATTTGATATTCAAATAAAATGTAAGATTTATGGCTCTAAGTTTATATTGTTCTTATTTGCTACAACAATACAACTCAAAAAAACAATGTTCTCCAGAAAATGAGTCTGAACGTTAAATTATTAAAATTTTATAATATTAATTTTAAAATGCAATTTTAGTATAATAAATAATAACTGATTGTAGAGGAATAAATATATGGTTTTCTTTTTTTTTTGGACGTATTTTTCTTCCCGTTCTTTTCTCGCAAGTAAATTAAAAATAATAATTTCCGAGTTGTGTCGGTTAGTTGTTGTGACAAATGAACGATACGTAGAAATACGAAGCTATTGTGAAAAATGTCCTCTCAAAAATTAAAATAACCTGTCTTATTAGTAATATATTTCTCGATTTCAAAGAACATTGCTTGGAAAATGAATATTTATCTTCTCATTGGAAACGATAAAAGCAGAATGCGCACGAGATGACTCACGGATATACCAAAAATAGCATATTACAAATAAATCTTTCTCTTTGTAGTTTACGTAAACACGACATATAACTCTCAACTGATCGATGCAGAGGGAACAGTCCCCTTACAAAACGAATATGCAACCTGGTGCTTAATTCTGTTAGGGATCGCGCGAGGGTCGTCAGAGTGTCAGAATTCACACGATTCATATCTGCAACAATGCGTTTCGAATTCAGAAAATGCTTCATTTGCTTCAGTTGCAAACTGGCACTCCATATGTATATTCTGAATAAAATTATGTGTTAATTAAATTGAAGATAAGCGGATGCAGACTAAATTAAAATCGTGTAACAAATTTGTTAATAAGTTAAATTAAATACTTTTAGTATTTTATCTAAACATTCGCCGAAAAATATTAAAACTTTGCAGATAATTTTAAAATTTTGATCGATTCTCCTCTTGCTCAGGATCATTATTGTTAATTTGCACAAAGAATAGAACGTGCGATCGCGTTTGATCGATAAAATCCTTTTTGGGGGGGGGGGAGGGGGCGAAACGGATGGAAGTGTCGGCGCGCTTCCTCGAGCGTGCAGCGAGGAACGAAACGAGGGAATTAGAAATGCAATTTGACTAAGCTTCCATTGAGTTTGTGGATTAAACGAACCGTAACCGGCCGCGCACATGTCGATCTAATTTTCAACAACACGTGCAAGGGTTTCTCTTCGATTTGAGGGGTGGATCGATTTGCACGTTACTTCGCAGTTTAACATCTATCGAAATAGCTACAAAAAAAATACAGGTACATAATTCCTTATAAAATTATACTGCTATTATAAAGACCATTTTATATAAATGACCCAGATTTTACAAAATAGAATTATATTTATAATTTTATATATATTAGTATATTACACATCTATCAAAATTTGCTTTAGAAATAAAAATAATTTAAAGAATTACGAATATATATTTAATTCTTTAAATGTGATTTCACGGCGTATAAAATTACAAATAAAGTTCTAAATTCTGAATACAAATTTTCTTCAAGAAATATTACATTTAACATTACATATTTTATATCAAAAAATTAAAATGTAACATATATATTTATTGTATGTAACATATATAATTATTGTATGTGTTTATTTAATAATATATTTAATAATATTACTTTATTTACTGTTTTTTTTATTTGAGTATAATAAGTTTCTCCATGTAAATAAGCTTTTAATTTATTCATCATTTTTTTGTAATCCTCAAAATAATCTTTTTTATAATCTTTATAATCCTTGAAATAAGTTAAATTCGCGTATTATATATATAAAACATTATTAATTTTTAATTGACGATGTATCGAAGATGGAACACTTAGATTTCTTTTTTGTTATTTTGTCTCTTATTTTGTTAAGAGGACAGCGAACGACCGTAACACATGTTCGTTAGCAGCAGATGTAATTTCTCGCGTATCACGATCCTTTCGATTCTGTACCTCGCTGGAGAAAAAAAAACGATCTCAAGGCGATCTCTGGAACGCCTTTCTCAATTCAGGGACAATGATGGGGATCGATGACAACCGGTGTACATCCGAAACGAGACGGAGCTCAACAATTTCCGTCTCCGCGCGCGCGCGTGGAGATACAGATGCGCGTTCACGAGCACGCGCGTGCCGATCACAATGGATCGATGACGGCCAGATCTCTGGATCGAACAATAGGGCACGGTTAGGACGAAGAAAGACATTAACCAATAGCGAAGAAAGAGTGACTAATACCTCGGAAAATGAATCGTTTCTTTCGATGATTGTGGATATTTAGGGGTTCGAAAGAGAGATCCCCCCATGAAATTACCGCTGACGGCGTAACAGATTTATAAAAGATAACAGATTTTCCCTTGAGCCTTTAACTAATCGAATTAGCACCTCCCTGTATCGTGAATTAAATTAAAAATCGGATTCAGCTTTCACTGCTTTATATCTATTAAAAATCAATTTCAAAAATATAACTCAATTTTAGGCAAATTAGCTTGTCGTTCGAAAAAATATCTTTATAGACGCATAGGAAAGAACGGTTTTGCTAAAGTATCTAAAAATTTAACTAGACACAGATTTACAGAATTATTTTCAGCTCTATACATTTTTAAATATTTACAATTAACAAAACCATGCTTTCCACGTACGATATTTAATTCTTCAAGTGGAAACTCGAAGATAATTTGTATCTTCTAACCAAAATATTATTAAAAATCAGCAATATAAATTTTCTTTCGTACTTCAGATTTTAATATAAGATAATAAAGTTCCTCAAGTCACGGTCAACAGCAATTAATTACCACATGCAATTTCTCGCATCGTTTATGTCTATAGACTTATATCTCTCGATATTTCTATCCCTCATTGATCCTGCGTGACACCTTAGGTATACCGCGCGATCCTCGCGAAAGCCCGAAAATCTTCAGCTGCCGGCATCAGCTGCACGGATCAGCGTCGATGAAGAAGAAAAGGGAACCGGCGCGGCGTGGCGTCGGAAGAGGGAGACGAGCGGATCGGACGAGGGGGCAGAGCGCGAAAACCGGCGCCCGTGGCACGGGGGTACGAATCTATGGGGCACACGAGGGTACGCGTGACCCCCGAGAGGTCCCCGCGCGCGTGTAGTAGGGTAGCTTCCCCCCTCAAAACTACCACCGACCGCTTCCGGGCTACTCGCTCGCTCGCTCGCTTGCTGGCTGGCTGGTCGCCCCTTGGCAAGGAATTCACGGCTTAGACTGTCTATCAATGCCTGCGGAGTAGCAGCAGCAGCAGCAGCAGCAGCAGTAGCGGGTATCATCAAGCCGACTTGGTACGGCACACGTCAACGAATCGCCGACGCGAGCGGGTGCTCGCCGGCCGCGCATTTACGAACTCACGCCGGTGGATATTGAAGCGGGGACCAGCAAACGTGCCGTTCCCGGTGCGGCGAAAGAAGTACTTTTTTATTGAAATCTAATACATCGAGCAGTGCCAGGATAAACCGAGCCTAATCGAACAAGCGTTGCGCGACAGTGTTAAAGATTTTATAGATTTCCAATCAACTACATCAGATATTAATATATTTTTTCGTCTGTTGAGCCGAAAAGTGATTCAAATAGTGTCATTCGAGTAACGGAATATTAGAATATTTTTATTTGTAAGTGGAACAATCGTGTGTTCACCGAGAGTATTAGAACCTTTTTTGCGAGGCTAAGTGTACCAACCAGTGTTTAAGAAAATAATGTTATTTTTTTCAAAAATATATCAATATGGTGTTCTATGAGAACGTGCTCGACTTGAAAATCTAAATATTTCTCGAAACTCGTCAGGAAGAAAATTGAAAGGCTATTGCCCATCTCGAGCGGCGTGACGTAACATTTCGAAACTGTGTCGCTTTTTAATGCTGTTAAAATTTCTGAAAACCAGAGCATTATTTTTAAATACTGTATACATTGTCGTTAAAGAAAGAAGATTCGTTGACATTGTGCTATATTTTTCGAAACGCGTTTCTTTGCGTCAAATTTTCAAGTAGAGTCAATTAGAGTGAAAAATCTCAAACTAATAAAAGCATAATTGTTGATAAGAAGGCAAGAAGATATCGAGAGAATGAAGCTGAGGGATCTCGAGACCAATAACGTTTGAATTCAAGTTTTCCGATTCCCAATCTCAAAAATACACATACTCAATGCCAGATATATCGAACTAATTGGAATCTATGTAAATTCGACTTGATTAACCGGCACGTAACGTGCATTTTACCACTAGTTAATTAAGCAAACTGACCCGATATATCCGACCAGAATTAATCGAACTGCGGCTGTGAATATAATACTTACAATTAGATGTTAATCGGAATTGATCGATTGACGCACTCAGTAGCTATTGAACGCAATTAATTTATCGGCGTCTAATGGCTATTAATCACGCGCAACGAGCGCATAAGAAGTAACTGAAACGTCCATTAAACCGGCCGATAATCGGGGCGGATTGCGCGGGTGTAATTAATCATCGATCGTCCGGCAACGTTGGGCAACAACTCCCTCATGGCGAATTGAGAGCGCGGAGTTTCGTCATCGCGCGAGTGCCTAAATACGAAATCGTTTATCCGTTACTATTCTAATCCTCCGTCCTTGACGGCGCCACGGGGGAAACGTGTGTGTTGCCGCCTGTTGTCTTCTCGGTGGCCGTGGCCGATTGATCACGACGGGGGCCACTTGCTTCTACAACCGACACGCCATCGGACACGCGGCGGAAGAGTTAAGGGGCTCGGCGGTCAAAAATAAAAGGGAGAACGATCGAAAAAGAATCGTCAAGTCGAAGACGAATATCGTTCACAGAGCGATCACGAGACGTACTACGAGCGGGACGCCGATCTTTGGCTATTTTCAAGAATCGAGGGTGAGTTTTGATCAAAATTTGCCTCAACTCAAATTTGTACAAAAATTCACAATTAAATTTTGAAAGTAATGCACAATTATATAATATTATAATACTTTGTAACACAATTTTAATAGAATTTGTAATATAATTAAAAATTTTATTTAAAAAAACGTCTATATATTCATATTAAAGAGCTGACTCTAAAACTTATCATTAATCTTATTATACGTTAATAATCTTATTTAATTTAATCGTTAATATTCAGATGTCATTTCTAATAAAATTCTCGACATATAATCGTGCTATTTGTAACAATGGTTTATATTAAGAAGCTCGGAGAAGTGTATGAATTAAGTTGACCAGAACCGACAGTAGGACTAAAATGACAGTACTAGACGAAGTCTAGTATTTAAAAATTCTTCACATTCGGAACTGCCATGTGGAGATAAATATAGCTCGCGCATGATACAACAAGCTGTTACACAGCAAAGCATATATATTCAACATTTTTTCTCGTGCTTGTGGCGTGGTTCCAGAAAAGTTCCCTTTTCTTTTTATACATTTTACTGTCGCAATTTTTCTCGGTTCGCCTCTTCCCTCATTTCATCCGTCTTCTATTCATCCAGAGCTTTAGTTCTTGACCTCGGTCTACACTCTACACCTTAAAGATTCAACACATTCAACGAAGATTCTCGCGAAGTAATCTAGCTCTAATAATGCCGACGAATGCGCTTTCCCCCTCACGCCCCCCACCCCTCCTCTTTCGGTACATATTTTATCTTTCAAACAATCACAGCCATTTTGCATTTAGACGAGTTTTCATACTCGAAGTGTTCCAGAAATACAATCGCGATTAGATTATCCTCGCTCTTAATTAAAAAAGTAAATTTTTTTTTCAATTAATTTGATAAAGCGCAAATATCGTTCATCTACAAGAAAATTTTGCTTTAGAGTATCAAAAGTAATATAAAAATATCTACTCTGTTTTCAGATACAAGTACTCAAAGATATTCGCAGGTGCACACAAAAAAAGGTACATTCGTATTTCCCCCTAAACCTCGCGGTTATTTGAAGTTCAAGAGGGTAATATCGGACCGAATTCTCAGAAGGGCCAAGCGGGTCGTCGACCTTCGGACGGCAGAGCTGCGATTCGAGTGGGTCGTGAGAGAACCTGAAGAGGCGGAAGAAACGTCTATACCTTTTGAAGAGAGAGATTTCGCTTATCGGAAACGTGGCGGTGGTACTCGAGCGGCTAATTTTAGGCTCTTTCCTGGAAGACGAGGCTCTCGAGGAGGACTTCCAGGTCACTGTAATGATCAGCCATCATGGCGTGGCCGGCAGCGACGACCCTGACGAGTCTCCTGATGCTGCTACTTATGACGATCGCGGCCAGTTTCTCGCCCAGGATCATCGCCACCACCCAGGCGCCCTTCGGCAGGATTCTCAACGCCGTGAAACTCCACGGAGGGTACATGGAGGTGATCCAGGAGCAGAGATGCTCCCACGGTCTATTCAGATTGACGTGCAGGTTTGTCAGCACATTTTCTATCGTGCGCTTCAAGAAAAAAAAATTCTGAAAACTACTCGTATTTATAACATTTATCAAATTATCAGAAATTCAATCATTATTTATGTTTACACTTAAAAAACATTGTATTTATGTAGCTTATTTATTATTACATTTATATTCTACTGTTAAATTCATTGACATGTCAAATTTTTGAAAAATATTAATTAACAAAAATATTGTTTCTATATACAAAAATAAATAATAGATAAATAGCATTTTTAGTCTATTATTTAAAAAAATGGCATGCTAAAGATTAAGTCTTATCCAAAAGAACGCAAGAAAGGAGGTCAAATGTATTACGTCCTATTGTGAACTTATTATATTCATACAAATGTGACTTTTTATAATAGAATTTTATAATAGAATTTTTATAATTTACTAATGCGCAAGCACTAAAATTCTCAATATCAATCCAATTGTCATCTAATTGTTTAATTTCAATTTCTAATTTGACTTCTCCTTTTAGGAACATTCTGTAAAATATTCAGATGCGCGCGTTTAGCACGACATCAAAAATACCGAGAACAATAATCAAAAATATTTAAACTCGATTGTACTAATTCTTGTTAACTAAATTTCCGTCATTGAAATTTGCTTATCTATAGTTATACGCGGAGTTACATTGGTTTAGCATCGTTTCCGCAGATCGTTGAGAGCGTTCATCTTTATTCTGGAAGCGGAATATCATGCGAATCGCACGGAGCTCTGTCAGAAAGAGTCGAAAAGCTCGGGGGAGCTCAAAATGTGGAGGAACAAAGGTAGCACGCGACGATGGACGAACACGAACGAGCTCAAAGGAAACTACATTCTCGACGACGAGGACAACCAAGCGAATGTCATCGATATCAGATCATCCTTGAATAAAAGGTAGATTCATCTTGCTCGTCCAAAAACGACGGTATTGCAGCAATCCAGCATTTTTTTCTGAATTTTCAGACAATTAATTTTAAAAGACACATACACACACATACGAAAATCTATAAATCATACATAAACTCATTTTATTTTATCTTATGAGAAAATTATGTTTAGATTTAATTTTTCCTGAAAAAATAAACTTAAAAAAAAAATGAATTATGTCGACATTGCGTCGGAGTCTCCAATTGCAGCCACGGTTTCAACTTAAACATACAATTTTATTGACGATTCGTCGGCTAGATAGACTTTCATGGCCCTCGCCGACGATATCGGACTTCTGTTCCTGACACAGGTATTCGATGACACAAGATAGTGTTCGGTTACGAACAAAGTCTGAGGTAGACCGCGGCACCAGAGAACTACTCTCATTGCGAGCGTTTACTACCGACTACAAACACCGTAATAGACTCTCGCTAAAGCCGTAACTATGATAGGGTTCAGTAAAATAACACTGAGGCAAGCGATTAAACCCTCCTGCTCCTGTTTGCCTGCTTGGAAGGTTCTTCGTAACACACAAACAATATTTTCTATGATAGATAAAATATGGTTATAATAGCTAGAATAAATATCTAGCCATAAATAAAATAATTCTTTTTTTAATTTTAGGAGAAGTAATGTATTATATGTAACATATAAACGTTACTAAATTAAATACTTTCATAGGAAACAAAGTTTGTCAAAATCGATAAATATAATCAAAATAATTAATAATAATAATTAAAATAATTACTTGAAAGACTTAAAAAAATGGTTGAAGAACATCAAAACTGCAGTGTTGCAGAAATATGAGAGGTCATTATTGCGAAATGCAGTTAAGCCTTGATCGAGGCACCCCCCCTCCCACCCACCCGTCGTATCCGATACTATACCCGGCGTTTTTATCTGCCACTCGTCGCGCACTCAAGTGTCGAGGGTCGAGAGTGAAATCTCGACGTTTGATGTGCAAGGGTAAAAGCATTCCTGAAGCAATAATTGCCCACCCTCTCTCTCTCTCTCTTTTCCCTCGGAACGTGCGTCAAGTGATCACCGAAGGAGAAACGATCTCCGCTAAATGGTTTCCCCCCTACGTTTACACAGCATCACGCTCCGAGAATTCCGCAAATAGGGGGGATGGCAGTGCGAGGGATGCAAATTTCGCATCGCTGAAATTGCACCGAGCTCTTCGCGGAAGAATGGCATGTCTCATTTGTACTTAAAAAAAATATCTAGGATTTTAATCCCTCTGTCTTTTTCCCTCTCTCACGCGCAAAAGAATAAAATATATCACAAATTGTTTAAATTATTACTGAATTAAACACAAAGAGAGGAATGGGTAATAAAATTATAATTCAATATAACAATGATGAATGTGATTATGTGAAAATACGAAGAAAATGTATCTCCGTGATTGAAGTTACAAAAACCTATGTATTCATATTTCTTTTACAATTCTTTTATTAAAATTTTCAGTAAAATTAATCATTCCGTTTTTTTTTGTTTTTTTTTCATTAAATTACAGTGAAAACGGTTACTCGCTCGCAGCATTGCAATTTTCCGGCAAAAAAAACGGCATATAAACTTTAGGAATTTTATCGTCAAACAGGACGACTTACCGTTAACTTAAAAGATACGATCGGGCGGAGAACCACAAGTTTCAATTTGAGAATCCGTCGCGGCCGACGCGGCGGGTTTAAAAAATTCAAAGAGATTCCTCGCAAGGGCGAACGCGGGTGAAATGTTATTTCCCTTTTATTTCCGCCCAGAGACCGATAAAATCGACGAGAGAGAGAGAGAGAGAGAGAGAGAGAGAGAGAGAGGGGAGAAGGTTGACGTAGGCGGGGGTGAGTCGGCGAGGCACCTCTTAAAAGGGGTGAAAATCCACCCTCGTCCATTATTCACTCCTGCTTTCAAGCGCGAGCAACAAAGATCGCACACGGCAACAATCCCGGCCCTAAATTCCACTCCCCCTCCCCCGAAGGAGAAGCTCGAGGGCTGCTTTTGTCAGGCGCGTTCACAGAACCCCTAATGACCGACGCCGCTTATTTAATTGGGGACCGTCGGACAATCGATAGCGAATCCGAAAACGAAACCTCGCGTAAATTGCAATTCATTCGCGCGGGAATGATGGGAATTTTGTATATCAGATACATTTTGAACAATTTAGTATGAAGGATAATAAGGGGAATTAATGTAAAAAATTAACGTTCGTCTAATCATTCCACATTTTTCACAAATAAATCTATTCTATTATTTATCGACTTATCTGTTTATGATTTATCGAATACGATCCTTTATGATTCAGGTGTTCTGGTCAGAAACACTGTCGCTATGATGTGTCTATCGAGCATCCAGGAGCATATTCTTGGATTCCAGGTGGAATTTTATTAAAATATGCCTGCATACCAGGTGAGTGTATTTCCAATATAATTCCAATATAATTGCATGTCAAATATTTTACTAATATTAAAATATAATATTAAAACTATTATTAATTATTTCCTTGAGCTTGGCGAAAAAATTAAAACACTTTTGAAGATACTCTACATTTATCAAAGATAGACTTTATTAATACACGTAAAGAAAGAATGATTTTATTATCAAGAAAGACTTTATTAATACACGTAAAGAAAGAAGGATTTTGCTGAAGTATCTTGAAATTTAGCTAAATGCGGATCTAAAAATAATTATATTAAACCTAAATAATCATATTAGATATTCAAGCAGGTTGCTAGAATGTCAAAACTTTTTGCAGCATCATCGTACTTGAGTGTCTTACACAATTATTTTGACGATTCAACATAATTATTTTTAGATTCTGCAGTATCTGGCTTAATTTTTTTATACATTCAGCAAAATTATTCTTTCCATTTGTACACAAACAGCCAGCATATAAACTAAAATATTAAGCCAGTTGTACTTCTACCAACGTTTTCACGAATACGTCCAATTTGCTTTTGACTGCCTGAAATTTCGTCTGAATTTTTTTTCTAATTCTCCCAAATTAGTTTTAATTCTCTCTCGATTGTTGTCGATTCTATACAATAGCATCCTCGATTTTCACATAAAATCAAAGCGGATATCTCCGGTTTTCGCAACACAAGATATTTACAAGGTATTACGAATCCGGCTTTATTTATCGGCGGAAAGCCTAGGTCTATTTTCTCTCTCCGCTGTCGAGTTCGCGGATCAAGAGAGAGAGAGAGAGAGAGAGAGAGAGAGAGAGAAACATGCATTCGGGCGTGCGCAATCGATGATCGACGAGCCCGATAAAGCGTGCGCCCCGGGCGCGGACAGGTCACGCGCGGGGGCGGAGAAGCGCACGGCGCGTCACGTGCCGCACATCGTGCACTCGACGAAATCGGCACTCAGATTTCTATCGCGGACCGTCGTCGTCGGCCGGTTGTCCGCCAGCTGTCGGCGATACAGCGATCCTTATTGACCGTGGGATCGCCGGCATATGCGTGATATATAGGTACGCTGAAATTCTCCCCGGCGCGGCGACAAGAAACAGTGCATCCGATCGGCGCGCACAATGCACCACGCTCGACCGCGCTTGCAACGCGCGCGACGATGCTACGGAAAAGGGCGTGTAATCCCGCCGTTCTATGGAATCGCACGTACCGTGGAACATTGGCTCGCTTTATACGAGGGAAGCGTGACGTTTCCCGGGTTCAGCCGTTTCGTTGTTCGATACAGTTTCATTTCTCGAAATAAATGAAAACTTATGCACCGTAGGGTGGCGAGAAACGAGAAATTATGCGGGCATACCAGATGTTACAAGCTACAGCTTATTGCGCAACACTATGTACATCTAAATATTAATAATCCTTTGGGAGTTGGGACCGATAGATTTTGTATTGCTGCCATTTATCACAATCTCGGCGAGCTAGGTAAGAAACGAGAAATTATGTGGCGATACATTACGATGTTATAAGTTCCAGCTTATTGCGGCAACAGATGTAACATTATGCTTTTGTACGTATAGATACATATTGACCTTTCGAGAGATTTCGTATTACTGCATCTGTGTCGAGGTAAATATAATACTTCTTTAACGGGGGTAGTCATTTTTTATGAATATGTATTGTATATGTATATTCATTTATGTTTAACTAGAATATTTTTTACTGTTGTATAATAACAATAATTAATGAAATACTATAATAATAAAATTAATATTTATTCGCGTATGTATAAAATGTTAATTATAATAATTAAACATTAAATGAATTATTCATGGTAACTCAAAAACAATTACTTAACAATTGTATTAAAATCATGTTTCTCTAAAATTCCATAAACAAACACACGCACATTTTAGACAGACAATATTAAATTATTCATTAAGTATAAATTCAGAAATTAAAAGAAAAATTACATTTTCGCAAGTTCGTAATGACTCAAATTTTCTAAATTTATGCCGAATAAATTTTCACGAGTAAACTTCGCCAAACCAAATGGTGTCTCAATGCGGTATCATCGATATCGACGTGTCATTCGTGACACTCGACGTCCCGATTGTACGCAAAGTCTCATTAGATAAGCAATCGATAGAATCGACAGAGATCGAATGGGAACCGTTCGCTATTCAGCAGGACAAAACATTCCTTGCGAAGGCCGTCACACGTGGAACATTGGAAACGGTTGTACGTAGACGTTACCCACTGAGGGATTGTATAGGTTGAAAGGATAGGAGGGAAGGACGGAGAGGACCAAATTTCCCCTCCATCGCCCTTATTATTACCGCCACCGGCGTATCCAGCTCCTCTCCTCCCGCCCTCCTCCCACCCGCCCAGAAATGGCACCCCTATCCACGGAAACTGGGGCAAGGACACCCTCGCCAGCTCCAGACCCGCAGTACGCGCTATAAAGGGATCCCGTGCAATCGTATCGCACGGCGACAAATAGACCGCAACGGATGCAGATGTTAATGTTAGCCTTATGGGCAGCGAAAGCGTGGCTCAATCTTGCCATCCTCCATCCTCCCCCCCTCCGAAAATCGATTCTTTTCACAACGATAGAATGATCTCTGTCAGTAATGATTTGTCGCTAAGAAAGATTTAATTAGGGAGGGTGTACAACTGGAGGGTAGCGTTACATTAGCACGATTTATCAAACGCACGTAGCATATCGGAGTTTATTCAAATAAATTAATATCGATATATTTCAAGCACCCTTGTGCTTTACAAAAAACACTCAATAACTCAAAAAAACGTGATTTTCGAGTTACTGAAACAATGAATGAGTTAGGTAAATATTAAACTCCATCAATCATCAAAAGTGGGAAACTTAATTTTTTTTCAATTGTTCAGTTTACTTTTGAAGCAAAAATGTGAATTATATATGTGTATAATTAAATTGTCCATTTATGATTTAACTAATTTTATATGACAAATAGGTATATATATGAAAACTTTTTCTTTGACAGGAGATTTACAGCCTTGGCCGCAAATATGAAATACCCTCAATTTATTGCATTTTTTTTAAGAAGATGATAATAAAAGCCACAGGAGGACTAACAAATTATTAAAATTGTCATAAAAATATGTAATATTTTTCAATAAAACTTTTTTAATTTGTTAATGAACAATTAATTCAAAGGATTCCTAGAATTATTCAACATTTGATATATCTTAGGTTAGTGGGAATCAACATGGTAATTATTAAACAGTATTTTTAAAAAAGAAAAATTAATATCAGTAAAATCATAAATATTTTAGACATTTCGGCCCAGGCTTAGGGCCATCTTCAGTATTAATCTTATTCGGATTTGATTTTTGACTTTTTAAATTTATTTTTCGTTAGATTATATAATGTCAATTTGTGAGAGTGTTTTATATTTACGGCCAAGGCTGTATAAATCTCTATTTTCAAAATGTTCTCCCTGAAATACGCAAGTTTCGTGAAACACAATTGCGCTATATCGTACAAGTGAATTGCTGTGTAACCACACAGCATGATGGATTAATATTTTACTGATTGCAGAAGCTGCGGTCAGGCGATACTGCAATCAGGAGGTGAAGGTGATCGGCGGTGAAGGCGGCTACATCAACACCCCGGGTTATCCGCTGTATTACATCGGGGAAACGTGCGGGTGGACCTTCAGGACGTTTCCGGGTCAGAGGATAGTTCTGACCTTTCACGACTTGAATATCCGCGGTAAGCGCTTGGCCGTGTTTCAATCCTCTCTAAAACCTCGCCGAAAGCCCTTTCGCCAGGGTGCGCGCGCGACAAGTTAAACTGATAAAAATTGAATCGCATGGCAATTGAAATCCCGAGAGAAGATTTAGCGTTTCTTCGTTTATGTTGATAAACGCGATCTGGCGGGTCGGGATTCTTTCTCGCCGCGTGATGAAGATGACTTGAAGTTTAAATAAAGAGAGGGTTCAGGAACTCACAAATAAAGAGAGGGTTTCAGAAACTCAAAACAGATATACGTTGCAACGTTAGAAGCGACATTGTATATTTTTTTTTTCGCCGTAAATTTACGGCCCTTATTTAAACCGCAGCCTTCGACCCATCTCCACTTTAAGCTCTTTTACCGCGAGGCCGCGAAATGAATAACGATTTGCTAACGCACGACTTATAGCTTACTACACAAACGATGCATTGCAAGGAGCGCACATGCGCCACATATGACACCGATCGGGATTAAGGGACCGCGCGTCGATCATCGTCCCTCGTTCGGGAAAATAAATAAACGCGGTCTGATTTCACACGCAGTCCGAACAAACAAACAAACAGACGGAAACCACGAATAAAGGTCTGCTCGCAGGTCCGAACGCGGACGGGAACTGCGTGGACATCGTGAGAGTGCGGGAACACGGCAGCACTCTCTTCGAGTTCTGCGGCACCGCCGCCGGTGTGGGAGTCGTCTCGAGCTCGAACGTGTTGACCCTTGACTTCGTCACTTCCAAGAGGTTTTACAACGCCCGAGGCTTTTTGCTGCACTACCAAGGTAAAAGAGAAAAGAAAAAGGAGATCTCGAGCTCGGAAAACACAAGAGAAAAGTGTCGCGAACACGCGCGCTACAAAACGGTTAACTCGGGAATAATCTCAGTGAAGATACGTTAGCGTGTACTTCGCCAAAGAGGTTTATGTGAAATTAAGAATGTATCACATCTACTTTTTTTATTAAATGCATTGATATTTATAGTTTAAATGAACTATATACATATAAGTGTGTTTACAACATTCTTTTTTTATTGAGCAATATATTTATAATTTATTTACTTTATTTGTTATCATTTGTTATCGTTATAATATTTAAATTTAAAAAACAATAACAAAAAATCTCGATTTTTTTGTATAAACATTTTAAGTATTGAAAATGATTTATGCAAAATAGGTTTTGTTTATTTACAGAATAGTTAATCTCTGCATCACAATAAAACTTTACGTAAAAATCATTTTAATTCAGCATTTTCAATCTTTATAAAAATAAATTGAATTTTTTCTAATAGTGCCACAATCAATGCTCGAGAATTCTCGGCAATATTAAATTTATATTTTAAGAAGTTTCATTGCGTTATAACGGATTGTTATATAAAATCGCTTTGCCCTTTAGAAAACGTTTGGACAGAATTTATAATCTTCACACTCTGACATTATTCCCGAGCTATATAAGTCTTTGTTTTTTCTAATTCGACTGCGATATTTTAGAAAAGGTATTAAATCAGATATATGATGATATTATCGACGAGATATTAAGTTAAATTTTAAATGCAGAATTTTCAACAGCGACCACTTTCTGAAGTTTTCGCCAATTTAAAAGTTTCTCGAAACGCCATTAGTTACTTTGTTAACTATTTCAATGATTAAAACTTTTTAATAACTCGCTAGTGCGTTTGTCGTTTAAATGTTCAGAAATTGCATGGAGGTCCTATAGGGATAAAAATAATGGAAATTCTGAAGGGCGAGAGCGAGAGAGAGAGAGATGCGCGCGCGATATCGCCTTGTAACTTTAAACTGGAGCAAGATGTTAACGAGGAGGAAGGTAAGGTGGAAATGAAGTTACGCGCGTATTTTGCATTATAGTGCTGGGCTGCCCGGAGGTCTCGGTGCCGAACGGAAGTTACGTGTCGAACGGTACATTGACTTCGCGGACATTCCTATGCAAGTCGGGCAGCGTGTTCCCCGACAGCAGGGAGAGAAAAAGGACGCTCGAGTGTAGGAACGGCAAATGGAACGAGACCGCCGCCAAGTTACCCGGTTGCGTAGGTAAGAAACTCGAACTGTTAGAATTATCAATTGCTTCATACTTTCCTCCTGTCTCTATTTCTCCGCGTCATATTTTACGTGTTTTATTTATCCGTCATTCTGCCACACATTTGCGCGAGCACCAATTTACGTTTTATTCTATTTATTTACATCAGATTATAGAGTGTTAAACATCCGTAACATCCGCGCGTTGGATAAATTTTATTCTCAGAGATTCAATTTAAACTTTTACGTGAAAAACACAACCGCGTGCCTGTAACGCGGAAATAATGCGCTTTACAGCGTACAATAATAAGTCTGTCGTCATATTTAAATTTGTGCTCTCCGCCTGTTTATCTCGCTCGCGGAGAATTATTTATCAACACCATTAAACATTCAGATGCTTCGTAAATACGACTCATTGAATTTTATCGTAGGAATTAAAATTTTGTGCCGAGAGAAAAGTGTTTTGGCAATTGTGATTATAATTGCATAGTACGATAATTACGATTAAGAGATCCAGTTTTATAGTCGTTATCGCTATAATGTTAGCAATAATATAAATAATTATACTTATTTATATCATATATATATATATATATATGTATAAATAATTATATTTATAGTTTAACCTAAAAAATATATATATGGCTGTCACTGAAAACAACTATAAATTGTGGTTAAATCATGCAACCATTTTTTTCTCACTGCAAAAAGTGCAGGAAACGCTATTACGTTATTGTTATTAATATAAACGCAATTACTCCAAACTGCTGTTACTGGTACATGCATTCTACATATTCATAACCATAATGTGTAATAACCATAATAATCTCACTTTATATAGTACAATGTCATATCTATTTTCACACGACACTCGTCGCGTTATTTAACAATGCTAAATCCGCGGATAATGGATATTATTAAAAGCAAATTTCAATATGATTGATAACGAAGTTCTCTCGACTCAAGCTCGGCGATGAAACGTTAATCGTTTACGTCCTAAATTTACAGTTCGTTTTTCCCCTGTTTTTGAATTTTTTATTCTCTCTGCCCTCCCTCATTGTTCCGCGATATTACCTGGCGTTCCACGACCGCCAGTTAGCAGACAAAATGCGTCCTCTCCTGCGATTAATTCGAAAGCCATACGCGTGCCGCGCGCGTGATTTCACGCAATATTCAGCGCGGGGCTTACGCGGCGAGGCGCGCAAGATAATCGATACGGCCCTTCTCCCTGTCGGAAATCCCCCAATGGCTAGTGATGACATCGAAACCCTATAAAAATCACACATTATTCCACTTTTTTATAGCCTGAACAGTCCGGGTGCAATATCGCTTGAAATTTTTCGCAAAATTTATTCTTTTATTTAAAAAAAAAAAAGATTACGAAACTGTGATAGCTTCAGGTTTTCGCGAAAATTTATTATTGCCTAATATTAGAAATTTGGGAATACAAAGAATTAAGAATTTTTGTTATAAATTTAACTTCATTCATCACGCGTGTGTAAAAGAAAAAAGGAAAACAATTGCAAATGAATACGGAGAGGCACTCGTGGAAGAATGTAATCTTATCAACACAGCTCTTTTGATTACTCAAATTTATCATTAAGAGAGAATTACTTCGCCTATATGTTTACTTACTATTTTAAAAAAGTTTAACATTCAGGTAGCAAAAAAACATTATTTATCGTCGTTTTGACGTCAGAATGATATTTATGATAACATCTAGGCGTCAAAAAATAACGACAAATAATATTAACTTGCTACCTTAGGAAATTGCAAGTAAATTAAAACAAAATAAAACGATAAGGCGCGTGCAGAGTGTATCGTGTCGATCCAAATTAAAAGTTCGTGGTTAAATTTTAGAAATAAAAGGCATATTCCGAGTGTTGTTCACTGCCTGAATAGGTTGAGTTGAAGTGCCATCACTACTCATGGCTGCTCTCATCGAGGGGGCTTCATTCCCCCTCGGAAGAAATGGTGGGGGACCCTTTCTCGGGGAAGGGAGAAAACGAGACGCCGCTCTCCCGGCGGGGGGACGAGCGACGAGGATGAACTGAGAGAGCGTCTTAGGGGTCGGAAGGGGGAGGGGGTCCCAAAGGCAACCATACATCGTCGTCGTCGCCGTCGTCGTCGTTGTCGCGCAAAGTCAGTCGTCGTCTGGACGTCACGTGCCTCTTTGGGACGCGAAGGGAAAAAAAATACGTGTACCTATATATGTACAGTTGAGCCTCGAAATTCGCGAGAGTATGCACGCAAGTCGTTTCGTGTAAACGCATACTTTTTGGGGGAAAAACGCTACTCTCGAATTCTTCCGAGAACTTGGAGAGACTCGCAACAACGTCCAACAGGTAACTGGTTCTTGTAAAATCATTTATAACCTAGTACAATTAATTTTGTAAATTGAAATTATTTGTAATAGCTTGGTTTTTGTCGATCCCTCGAAGTTACTTGATCTTTAACATGATGATTCACAATTATATAGTACCGCTTAATATGAGAGAACATTCCATTGAATTAAGGAATTATGAGCACTGTATGTAGATACATATTATATATACCACATGCATGCGCGCTTGTGTGTAGATCTTCTTGTCAAATATAAAATGATAATTTATTTCAAATGAACTTCATTTGAATAAGATGGGGGCCGCAGCATCGCGATTTATGAGTTTTCATAAATTTAATAGTTATTTCGAAAATATGAAAAAAATAACTAAAGCTCGAGAATTGAATTGTTTAACTAATAAACAAGTCTGAGCCAAATTTTCGAAGCAGATTTCATGTAATCTGTTGAATATCGGTGAACTGTTTCTTAAAACCGGCGACTCTTATAGGGGCAAAGTGCGCGGCTCGCGATTCGGAATAAATTTATGATTTATATATACAAAGTACTTCTTCTAACTGGATTGAAGCAGCCGATATCGAACGCGGGGTCAACTTAATGATCTCCCTATTGAACCGTCCCACCCGTTCGCGATCTCCGAGCTAATTAATCTCGTGTTCTGTTTCTCTCTCTTTTAGCCAGTTCATACAAGCTTGCTCCGAATGCCCCGATGGGGATTAATTATTAACGAGCCATTAGTCATTAACAAATGCGGAGGCGTGATTAAATTGTTAATACAGTTTGAGTTAATAGCAGACGCTTCATTGAATTCTTGAATCAAACACATTCTTTCTGAATGCTCCCGATGTTCCTAAATTAAATGAATTTAAGCATTTAAACATAAAAATACTTAGAAAAAACTTGATAATTATTAAAACTGAAAGTTAATTAAACTAAGAAAAAAATTTTAATTTAATTGAATCATCTGGAAAAGGTTTTATTCTCATTGACTTTTTTGATAAAAATCTTTATAGTTCTTATTTTTGCAAGAGATTCTCGTTGAAAACTATTATTTTTTTTATTTTTTGCATCTATACTAGAAGTTATTTTTCTATGTTTTCAGGAGGAATATTTGTTTACATTACATTTTTGTTTACATTATATTTGTTTACATCACACGTATCTAGTCAGTTGGTTCTAAACGCATCGTAACTATATATTCGCAAATCTCGTGCTCTATATTGCATTTTCGAGCTCAAGCTGGAGCATTGGCAGCGGAAAGAGATACTGCTGGCAGCTGTAGCCCGAATTAAGGCTTGTAAAATATCATCCCGCGGCACCTGAAACGCGGGCGGACAAAGAAAGAAAGCAGAAAAACCGAGCGGTCGAGAGAGAAAGAGAGAGAAAAACAAGTCGCTTTGTACGAGGCTATCTATTCTTTTTTCCGTTTTTCCGCCGGGCGGATTGCCCCGTTTCCGAGAAACAATCATTCGACTGCGATAGCTACAGATCTTCCGCGAAAGAGATTAAGTAAGGGGATGCTTCTTCTTCTTCATACCCCTTAAAGCGGCACGAGGTTAAATTTGAACTTTTCAAAGCAGCAATTAATCTTGTCGTACAGAGAAGCGATATACGTTTCTGGTAATTTAATAGAAACATGAAAATTAGAAAAAAAATTTATTTCTATTAATTAAAAACATTATTTTAATAAAATGCGTATCACGCATGTCTATTGTTCACATTTTTCATACAAATGAAATATTTAACATAAAAAGAGAAGAGAGAGAAAAAGGAAGATAAACAGTATAAATTAATTAAATTTGGTAAAAATACTTGCAACAAATTACATCGATAAGATAACGTATCCACATTCGTTAAAGCGACGACTCAAAGTTCGCCGAAATATATTATTAAACTATTTTATACAATAGTGATAAGATATCCCGACTACATTTTTGTTAATAGCAATTTTCAGCCTCAATTTCCAACATTAAAAATATTCGTGACTATTTACAAATGTTTCCATCAAAGACGAACGATGACATCTAAATGACTAACGTAGCGAACTACAGATATCCCGAATATATTTTTGTTAATAGCAATTTTCAGCTTTATTTTTCAACATTAAAAATATTCGTCGACTATTTACAAATGTTTCCATCAAAAACGAACGATGACATCTAAATGGCTAACGTACCGAGTTGCCGGTCTTTTTTTTTTACAATATATGTTTTTACGTATGCTTTATATATTTCTTGCTACGCGACGTTACGTTAGTGTATTTTTTCCATTTCATAAATTTTTGTTTCATTTATAACATCGGGCTAAAAGTGAAATAAAAAAAATATATATAGTTGCAACCAGCTCCTCTTCTTCAATGGAGAGAGGGGAAAAAATGAAATGGAACAATCTTCAATACACGATGCGCTTTTCCATTCCAATCGTTCTCGAAACAAAACCAATTTTGCACGCTCCGAGGAAATCCATTTCGACGCGAAACGGCGCGGACGGACCCCCAATTTCCGGATAAATAAAATCGGATTTTCCATTCATCATTTTCGGGAGAAAGGGCATTTTCGGTGCCCCGCGCGAGGCATCCGCGTGCGCTCGTAGTGGTCGGGGGGCAGATGCATACGTAATTCAGAAGTCGCGCAGCTGCAACGTGCATCGTCCCTGTGCGGCGCGGCGTTAAGGA